GTAAATGTTAAAGGATGAAGCCGAGTGACATCACCCATCTGTTCCTGCAGGGGGCGCTGGAGTCCCATCGATGGCGGTCTCTATGCTGGAAATGCTGTCTCAGTCTAACTTTCAGTCAACCTAAAGGCTGAGAGCTGGAGCTGAGGCGGGTTTTAAACCTCCTGACAAACCGTTACACCGCGCCCACCTGTCAATCATGTCAGCTACACGCCTTATTGTGAATAACTCTTATCCTTCATCAAATCAAAACTGATGAGTCATCAAAACATTCACCCCCCCGCACAGTGTGTGTCGATCGAGACATGAGCTCATCACACCTGTTTGTTTTTTGAACCAGGCTGTAAACATGTTCATCTCTGCTGTAAAAACAGGCTTTTTAGAATGGGTGTGTATGTGACTTCCTGTACTTCTGCAACCAGCCTCTAGTGGACAGTCGAGGAACTGCAGGATTTTACACTTCAGCATTGGCTTCATTTTTTAACACCGGAGCTTGCAGCTTTGGTTCAGCCTCCTGTTAGCTTTCTGTGGGAAGTTTGGTAGTGCCAATATTAGGAGTCTAGGACGTCTATTTTAGTTGCCATGGTATCAGACAGGTATTAACGTAGTTATTATGAACTATAAAATGTGGTCGCATTAAAACCCCTGATCATTGAAGCTCAGAGCGTTCAGCTGCTGTGTGAAAGGTTGTTGTGTCCTTTAACAAAGAAAAACCAACTCCACTGTAACATCATGACCTACCCTCACATCCATATTTGGTATACACAGTAAACCAATCAGAGACTGGAGTCCAGAGCTGCCTGACTTACACAGGTTAATGATGCCTGCGGACACACACACACACACACACACACACACACACACACACACACACACACACACACACACACACACACACACACACACACACACACACACACACACACACACACACACACACACACACACACACACACACACACACACAGAGAGAACAGGGTCTGAGTCTACAGCACAGCAACATTTCGAGACTATCAGAGATAAACGGGATAAAAAGGCGATGTGTAGGTGTGTGGTTATTACCTGTAGGAGACACAAACATTTGGTACGGCATCCACAGTTCAATATGCGCTTGTGAATTATAGTCAAAAGTCTTTTTCTCTGAAACGCCTCTGGTTGTGTGTGCCTGTGAGTCCATGCACTGGGATGAGGAAACCCCTCGATCACAACACTGGTGTCAGATTACACACATTACTTTAAACTGGCGAGCGGTGAGGAGAGGCAGCTGAGAATCGCGACCAAAGAACCGAGGTGCGTATTGAACCGCTCGCTGAATGTATTGTTTCATACCTAGTGTGTGTGTGTGTGTGTATCGAGGAAAACACTGTAGAAATCAGGGCAAAAGTGTCGTTTACTACAAATGTGTGGCCGCTCAGCAGGAGGTCAGATGTTACCATCACTTATCATTTCATTCACAGCGTGGATATTTAGACCTTCTGTACATTACAGAAAACATGGCAGGCTACTGGAGGTCAGTGTGGGACATGTATTTTTACTGTAATCCTTAGAGGAGCAGTAGATTTATAAAAAACAGGATGAGTGTTGTTGGCAGTATTTACCTGACCACGAGCGAAACGAGGCGACTATCGACATTTTACTGGCCGTGAAATGAGCCTGTCTGTCCTCCCTGATGACGACAGATAAAACAAGATTAATGAACACCCTGAATATTACAAATACCAGAAAATCAGGAATATAAGACACACTTTTAAAACCTTTACATGAACGCGGGTTTGATTGAAAAGACTCCTTGGTTAGAGAGCGAGAGGAGGGGGGCAGAGAGACTCGAGTCGAGGGCTGTGGGTCTGAATTTAGCCAGCAGGATTACAAACTCCACCTGGTGGTGACAGGCGGTACTAAAAGAGACACAGCAGCACACAGACTGATCGATGTAGACTTTAATGGAATCCATCAGGAAGACAGTTTGAACCTTTGTCACCTCTGACAGACGGCAAAAAAACCAGACTGAGACCCACATCCAGGTGTGACTTATATTCCAGATTTTACGGTATTAGCGTTGAACATAATCAGAACCCTTTTGATGTTTTATGTTTATCAGTCTGTGAGGACTCACTTGAGCAGCGCAGAGTCAGGACTGTGTCTGTAGTGGAAGTCGGTGTACGGGGCCAGGATTTGCTGAAAGAGCACAGAAGTCATGTTTTATATCAAACAACAGAAAACACAGAGTGAGAGAGGATTCTGGAGTGTATGGTCTGTACCTCGAGCTCGACGTCAGCGCGCACATAGCGGCGGGTGTGTGGGTGGTTGAGGAGGTGCAGGACGGTGGTGATCAGGGCCTCGTTGATCCGGATCAGCTGACAGGCGGTCACGCTCCTCAGGATGGTGCTGAGCCCTCCCCGCTGGGCCACCACAACGGGGTTCTTTAAGGCTTCAGAATAAAGAGGCCACACAGACTGTGACACCGCTGACATCACCCTGTGTGTGTGTGTGTGTGTGTGTGTGTGTGTACTCACACAGCTCACAGAGAATGGCGATGCAGACTCGCACCATCCTGTCTCGTTCATGAAGCCCGTCGTTGCCCACGGCGATTAGGGCATTGGTGAGAGAGGAGGGGAAAAGCTGAGCGTTCACACTGATCATCTGTGTACGGACACACACACACACACACACACACACACACACACACACACACACACACACACACACACACACACACACACACACACACACACACACACACACACACACACACACACACACACACACACACACACACACACACACACACACACACACAGTCTGTTTGTAAACTGTATAAAATATGGACGTAGTCTCAGTTATGTCGCCCGTTGGTTTCTGAAGCACAATTTTGAAGCGCAATGATGGCGGTCGCCAAGTTGAAAATGCTGTTTGACACAAACTGTCAGTCAACCTAACGACAGGCAAAGAGCTGCAAAGAGGCGGGTCTTAAGCCTCCAGACCAACAGCTACAACACGTCCGCCTGTCAGTCAGATCAGCCACGCCCAAATAGGACTCGTCTACTGTGTCGCCATCTTTAATGAACTGGTCTGTAATCTTTTTATCAGCAGAGTTATTGTACATTAATTAAGAGGCAGTGCGCTCATGCTAAGCGATGTTTCTACGTGTAATAATAACCATCAGAAGCAGATCTCACCTTGCGTGCCAGTCTGACCGCCTGAGTTCTTTCCACCTCGTTGCTCTGCTGAATATCGATACACCTGAGACGGATTCAAGAGGACGATCAGAGCAGAGGATCCACAGTCACTACACAAACACAACATCACTGTGGGTGGAGCTGGGGTCGTCCTGGTTCTGAACCAGGTGAGCCGGATTATTATCGTTGACAAAAAAATACTAACTGAATAAAACAGTAATGTGTGTTTACAAAGTTATAGAGAAGATGTCTTAAGTTTTCATTTTGACTCGAGCACGCTGAGAGACACACAAACAATCTGTCTCAGACACAGAATCAGAATCAGATTTATTGGCCAGGTATGCTTAAACACATACAAGGAATTTAACTTTGGTGAACTGTGCTCTCTTATGTACAGGTACAACATTAAATATCAACAATAAACATAATAAGAAAAGACTAATATTTACATGACTAAACATGAAACAGTGCAGTGGTGAATAGTGCAAAAGATGCTGAAGTAACATGATAAGTAAAGGGATGTAAAGGGATGTGTGTTGTTGTGGTGGCTGCCATGACAGAGCCGCCATGACAGCCACGACATGTTCTCTCATTTCCATCTGTGACATGGCGCTTTGCATTGTGGGAAACAGTATGCAAGAGAGACCGGTCTGATGCAGACTCAGTAAGACCTCTGGGTATTTTTGACAAACTCAGGATCTCACATTTGTTCGCGCACTGCATTTTGGGCCGGCTAGAAAACAGTGGAGGTCTCTCTCACCTGGCGATCAGGTAGTCCACCTGCAGCCTCAGCACCTTCTCTAGCACACCGCTGTCCCTGATCAGGTGACGCAGAGCTCGTAGTCCTGCCGCCCGAACCTCTTTGGCCTCATTCAACAACGCCAGCCGGAGACTGAGGAGAGGCAGGATGTAATTAGAGCATGATTAGGAACACTGCAGCAGAAGAAAAGAGCAGCATGAACACGTCCACACACTGACCAGACGATGATCTCCTCATGTGTGAAGCCGAGTTTCTTCTCTGAGTGACCCACGCTGCAGAGGAGCTGAGAGGACACAAATACACACAAATACACACAAATACACACAAATACACACAAATACACACTGCAGTTTATATATTCAACAACACAAACTACAAGACAGTACAACACTTGTATTAACAGTATAAACATGATAACAAAACTAAAGTTACACTTAAGAAGAAGAGGTATAATTAGCAAAGGATTCTGGGATGTGTTGTTCTTCGAGTCTGGAAGAAAAATGATGCACACAGTCTTGTACCTTCAACTTTTTCTCAGTTTTAAAACGCCTTTTTGTCACGAGTATTGGGTTAGCTGGTTGTCATGGTTACAGGCTTCACTCTCTTGATATAAGGATTTTGTGAAATGTCAATGAAAGGATTTGAATGGGGAAATTTACTTCAGGAACCAGAGCTGCAGAAAAAGATGTTGGTCAGTGTTGAGCTCTGACACATCAAATAATCAAAAAGAAAATTAGGCTTGATGATAACTTCAAATGTATCTGGGCGGGGTTTATGACCTATTCTGCAGCCAATCATCCAGCTCTGAATGTTTTTTTAGCTTCACTTGAGGCGAGGTGTTCTTCGGCCTGCTCTTTATACCGTCTACAGCTGCAGCTCTCAGAGGTGCACTCACTCCTTAAACACAGGAACATCACTCCTCAGAGTAAGCGCCCGTTTACTCTCCCGGCGTTCACACACACCTTCACTAAGTTGTTGAGGTGTCCCAGCTTCCTCATGTTGGACACTTCTTTCTGCTTCACCACATTTTGAAGGATTTCAAGAAGATTTTCTGCAGGATCTGAAACCAAACAGAGGAATGTCAAACAGAGACGTTTTAAATCAGAGCGACATGTTTCACATTAACAGTGAGATGTTCGCTTTACACACAGTGAGCGTCCTGACGAGTGTCAAACAGAAACAACGACCACATTAAACACAGACGGGTAAATACTGGTACCCGCAGCGCTGGAACTCACTGGGTCTAACGTCTTCTCTTCAGTTGTTCACAAACATGAACTGTTTTAATAAAACTGATGCACTTTTACAAAGAGCTCTTTAATCTCTGCTGTAAAAAAAACGTATGTATGTGACTTCCTGTGCTTCTGCAGCCAGCCTCTAGTGGACACTCGAGGAACTGCAGGATTTTGCACTCTGCTTCATTTTTCATCACTGCAGGTTCCTTCTTGATCTTGAACTGCAAGTCATGAATGATTTCACGAGCAAAGAAAAGGCGTTCTGTTTTTGATTGAATTAATAATAAATAATAATAATTCATCTGAGGGGTCGATGTCCTTTAAAGCTTTAAAATGTTTTTCTCAGTGTTTTGGAGGAATGTGACATCTGAGGTATATTTTAGTTTTGTTTTCTGGGATCTACTGTGCACTGTTATTGCCCCTTGGGCCTTGTATGAAGGAAATGCAGATCATCTATTTTAATATTTAGACGTTGGGGGTGGTATTAAGATTGTTTTTTGAACATTCATTGAAGCAGTGTAGAACAGGTTAAGAGTTGCTCCAACCATATCTGGTCCATTTGAGCTCAACCCTGAATCATTCAATCAAATTGCACAATTTAAAAACCTGTGAGTGAAACAGGCTTCATGGCGGAGGTGACTGACATGAATTACATCTTAAGAAGTTGTAATGACGTTTTATATGGAGAGAAGCTGTGTCCAAGTTTCATTTGAAAAACAGATAAAAACAAACAGATCAACACATCACACACACACACACACACACACACACACACACACACACACACACACACAGAGTTAAAGTGATGCTTACCTCTGTTTAGATCCAGAGGGACAGCTTCCTCTCCGCTCTCATTCCGACCTGACAGCACACACACGTAAACACAATGTAAAGGAAGAGACACACACACACACACACACACACACACACACACACACACACACACAGAGCTGTCATGCGGTTTCTAAAGTTTCCAAAGAGCAGAAATGTGTGTGCGTCACCTCTCATCCGTGCGCTCCTGCTCGGCCGGCCTCGGATGCTGCTCACCGCCATCTTTACAGGAGAGAGAGAGAGAGAGAGAGAGAGAGAGGGGGGGGGGAGAGAGAGAGAGAGAGGGGGGGAGAGAGAGAGAGAGAGAGAGAAAGAGAGAGAGGGAGAGAGAGAGAGAGGGGGGGAGAGGTGAGAGAGAGCATGAGAGAGAGAGAAAGTTAAAGTATCGCGAGAGTCTCCTCTTCATCATCAGGACTCTGACGCTGAGGAAGGACTCCCTCTGACGTCATATATAGGTCATCAAATCATCTTCGTAAAGACCCTGACGTCACATATCGATCACAAAGTAATAATTAACCCTACTAAGTAAAGTTCCCTCATGATTCTTATTTTAAAGTTAGTCTTTAAATCAAAATGTTCAAAAAGTCTGACGTAACAGGAGGACTGAGGAGACTTTGTGTGTGTCTGTGTTCAAGTGTGTGTGGGTGTTTGTGTTGAAGTGCTTGTATCCACTTGCTATGCATTTGTGTCCCTCAGGACTCCTGTGTGTTTATGTGTGTGTGTGTGTGTGTGTGTGTGTGTGTGTGTGTGTGTATGTGTGAGTGTGTCTTTGGTTGATTGATTTATTGTGTATCTCTGTGCTGTGGTATTGCATTTACAGAAAGCGGTTCTAAAACACATCAAAACTATAAATTCAAAATACAACTTCTTACCTATAGGCTTCACCTTGTCCCTCCTTCACAGCGGCCTCTACATGTCTATCTGAATTAAATGGTTAGCCTATAGCTTAGCGCAAAAGGTCCCTGCCTGTCCACAGTTAGTCTGACATTTTGTAAACCATTTGACAAAAAGGCTCTTGTTGAACGTGTGTTTTGGTTGTTGCTTTAATAAAAGATGTTGAGTAGGTGGGTCCGAATGAAAATGCCCCCCAGCAGCCTTGGATTCATTAAGGCTTATGATTACTCAGTAGTGTATTGTTGGAAAAGTGTTTATCACCTGGGGCTAATTTTTATTATTAAATATATTGTCTATTTTGGGGTTTTCTCGAGCTCATTTTCTTTCTGAAAAGTTATGAAAACATTTTAAAGTGTGTGTATGTAAAACCTGCATGTTAAAGTGATAGTATGTAACATGAATATTCAAATAGAAGGCAGCCTTTAATTGAATCTGAGATGCAGAAGCATCATCAAGGCTGTTTATTTACGCTGCACATTTCAACAACAAGGGAATTCAAAGAGCTTCACTCTAGACATCGAACGCATCACAACGAAGAGGGTCAGAGGTCAGGCAAAGTCATACCCAAAGAAGTCACTGGGACAACTGCTATAGGACGAGGTAACACGGAGGAAAACAACAAACATCAGTGGGACTGTTCACATCATGTAAACACAAGATAACAATAAAGAACACATTAAACACACACTATGCAAAGGAACATTTACATTAATGTAAATGTAAATTAATGATTAAATGATGCTATTTCAACTAAACCACTTATGAAATGAAGTTGCATTATGCAGCTGTAACATCTCACATATTGTTAACCATTATTATTATTATTATTATTATTATTATTATATCATAAACATACATGTAGCTATATGGAAACACATCAACCCATCAAAAACCTTATACTGATAAATTCAAATCCTCACTCTCTCAATGTGTCTTTGCTCTTTTGTGCTCTTTTGTCTGTTCACCAGTTTTTATTTGTTTTACTATTTGTTCAATGTAATTTATTAAAAAACATTCCGGTAAACATTCAGTCGATCAAATTTGTCCCGTCTTTATATATATATTTTTTTATTTCACCATAAATATCTGTACTGTTTTCCCTTTCTTGTTTTGTACATTGCATTGTTAAATAAATACATTTTAAAAAACTCCGCTGTTGGCTGTTTTCTTTACATGACGTGTCATGACGTCATACACATGCGACGGCAGCCGGCGTCAGACAGCAGGCTGCCCTGAGTGTGTGAGCAGGTTTGATACAAACACCGATTTGTTTTTGTTTGACTGCAGTTAGAAAGACGATGATTAGCAGTGTTTTAAACGATGTGATCTCGTCTTTAGTGATTGTGTTCAAGTTTTCAGTTACGGTAAATTAACTTATTAACGTAACACACAGATATAAAGAGGTAACTGTGGTAACCACACGTGGCAACATTACAGGTGTAAAGATCGTTTTATTTTGGAGGAGATTGAATAGAAACGTTAGAGGAAGACTTTGGAAATGTCCCGGCACAGTAAGAAAAACGGCATACCTGACAGGTGAGTGACAGAAAACAGACACGTAAACATGTCAACAATGGAGCTAAATATCATTAAACAACAGTTCAGACCAATCTGATTGGACAGGAGGTATTCTCAGAGTGTCGATGCAGGAAAACAACATGATGACGTATCCCTCCTCAGCATACAGGAGCTCTGAACACTTTTAACACTAGAAAGACCAAGGCAGTCATTTTGACTGTTTTTTAAATTTTGCAATGTAATAGCTTACTTCAAATAAAACCTATGTAACTACAGGACCATGACTTTTCCTAAATGTGTCTATATTTTATTCTAGCATTGTTATTTTATCAAAAACACAAAAGAGTTTTGAGTATTTCTACCTTGAAAGTCCATAGCGGTCATATTGACTGCATGCATTATAGCCAGTGTATCATTTCGGTATTCCCTACTTTTTCCCACTCTTGAAGGTAGAGGTGGGCGATATGGGGAAAATATCATATCACGATTTTTTTTTTGGCAAAATCACGATCACGATTTTATCACGATTTTTTTCATACTGTTCTTTAGACAAATTTGTAAGTTGCTGACCTGTTCAACCAAACTTATTTCCCTGTATAATGTTTTTAAATGCACAAAAACTGCGCTGACAAGTTTAATCTATTTGAAAAACATCTTTGTAGGAGGTCTGGAGGTCTCTCACCCAGAACATCTTTAGCAACAGAAATGTATTTCCCTCAATTTGATCAATATTTATGCACAATTTTAAGGTTTTCCTCACCACTTTGAAATGATGATTTAGTTATGTGTCCTCTTTTTATGTTCATCAGGAACATTTTCACGCAGTGATGCATTCATTTAAAAACGTGTAGACTTCAAGTTCTTGTGTTTCTGTTCTATTTTAGCCCTGCAGAGCTCCTCCAGCTGTAGCTTCATACAGGCTCTGCAGCCTTTGTTGTTTTTTATGACATCACTGGACTAACTTTAGTTTAGTTTATATATAATCAAACATAATACAGGATGTGTTCATTCTGTGACACATGATCAAAGTAAGTTTTACTGACAGAAGAGTTTAATTCATAGAGGGGGCGGGACATTGTTGATTGACAGACAGACTGTCACCATGGTTACTCACTCTCACCTGCCTGCTGCTTTGTAACATCGTTTAGTGTAATCCCTGTAGGTTCAGTTATCACAACAGGTGAGTTTCAGGTGGAGAGGCTTGATAAGTAACTTTTAAAAACTGAGAGAGAGCAGAAAACACCGACAGCAACATTTTAAACACCGGGGTTTTATCTCCACTGACTGTCTGAGCTCCGCTCTGTCTGTCTCTGACTGTTAACGTCTCTCCGTGTCGCTATCCGAGATGTAGACTAATCTTAACTGTGCACACTATGCAGATAAGTCAACTGTTGCTCACAGCGTGTTGGTTTGGACAAATATCAGAACAGTTGCATATAACCGAGATGGAGTTGTTTTTGCGAACTTTACTTTTAAGTTTTGTTTTCACCGCGGCGGAGCAGAAGGGGAGGAGACGTGTCTGTGTCAGAGCATAAACTGCAGAATGGTAAAATAAACACATTAGCCCGGTTCTACGATCTCTCTGCTTTGGCAGATCGTCAGCAAGTTAAAATCCTTCACGATCTAAGATCGTTATATCGCCCACCCCTACTTGAAGGTGCGCATCGCTGTTGCCTAGCAACTATTGTTTATAACGCTCGAGCCATATAGAAAGAATAGGAGACATACATTTGAATTAATCAACATTGAAAAGGCAGAATAGAGTAAATTAGGATCTGATTTAGAACAGAATAGAAATGTCAGGAAGGAGGAGGATTGCTGCCACAGAGGGCTTGATGAGGCAGAGTCTGATGGAGGCGCAGGTTCGGATATGGAAGGTGATGTCTCCTGGTCTCTCTTCATCTGACACTGGCTCTGAGATTGAACCTGAGAATGATACAGAGATCATTCCCATTCACAAAAAACGCCGGCTGCTGTTTCCTAGTTGTCGATAAACTATTCAAATTTCAAATTCATTAGAATTTAATGTTTGTGTCCTGAAGTTTATTATACCTTTCACAACATTACAGAGCCATTTATTCTTATATTTGATATTGATTATTGAAATGATATGCAAAAAATGTGTAAACAGTCAAAATGACCGCTATGGTCTTTGTAGTAGTGATAGAATGCCAGTAGTTCTAGTGTTAAAGAACATTTCCAGCGGACAGAGTTTTTCTGTATTCATCATCTGAAACCTCAGACAGACTCTGACGTCACTGGTTTCATGATCACATTCAAGTTCATACTACAGAGGAGCTGCTCTGTGGTAACCATGGACACCAACAGGAGAATAGAATGTCCGGGTTGCTTAGCAACAGCCTAGTTTCACTTCAACTGTGGAACTAGTTGAATTGGTGGAGTTAAAAAGAATCTGTAGTTGATTTGATATTTTATCTTTTTATTTCCTGTTTGTATAACTTCTTGTTATAAAAGTGATATCACAGGAGGAGGAGATGTTGTTCCTGATATCAGCACTGATGTGATTATCTTCAGACTGAAACACAGCTTCTTCTCCTCTTCTCCTTCTCCTCCTTATTCTTCTTCTTCTTCTTTTTCTTCTTAGTTATTTACAAGGAAGCATCTGAGCCGGCCTGAGGAAACTTATTATTTTCCATCTGTTTTCATCCATTTTCTTTCATTTATTTCTTCAAAATATGTTTTGAATAGTTGGTAAATGTTGTCTCGTTTACATCGTGTTTTTTCCTGACAGATGGCTCAATTACAAAGCTGTGGGGAAAAGACTTCACGGTTCACGTTTCATCGCCTTCAAAGTGCCTCTGAAACAGGTCAGGAACACAGACTGTAAGAACACAGGAGGTCACAGAGCAGCACTGCATTTGTATATAATGATGTAATCGGTGTGTGTTCTTCTTCTTTTAGTCTTTGAACTGTCAGCTGTCAAATCGGGACGTGTTCGGACCCTGGGAGCTGCTCGACTCTTTGAAGAAAGAAAAACAAGATCTGGGTTTGATCGTAGACCTCACCTTCACCAAGCGCTACTACAACCTGCAGGTGAGCGCCAACACACTCACACAGGTTAGCTGTGCGTGTGCATGTGCGTGTGCGTGTGCGTGTGTGCATGTGTGTGTGTGTGTGTGTGTGAGAGAGAGTGTGATTCAGGAGTTGCTCAGATCTGCTCTTTGTTTGTTTGCAGGATTTACCTGAGTCTTTGCTGTTTGTGAAGATCTTAACGGCCGGTCACCAGATTCCGAGCGATGAAACAATCCTGAGCTTCAAACGAGCCGTACGAAAGTTTCTGAGAGACAACGCAGATAATGGTGAGAAATACACACGATTGGAAAAGGCTTGTCTAGTAAGCAGTGCTAAGTCTTTTCAGTTTTTATACCCGGGGTCACACTTTGTTTCATCCTGACATCCTACCTGGTGGATCCCTGAGCGGGACTTTTTCCTATGGAGCTATTATTGTGGCAAAACTATTTTAATATGCACACACAGATTCACAAATGTGTAACAAGATCCACAAATGCCTAAACTAATCTAGTTTACATTACTAGTCTACATATGGCATATGTAGACCAATTTCAAAATATTTACTTATTTATTAATGGCAGTGAACTTTTTCAGCTGTAAATCCTGAAAATACACACAAATGATCGCTTACAACTGAGGCAGGCCTCTCCATTGGCTGTCATTTTACACGTGACTTTTGCAACACTCTTGCCGTGCAAGATCCTCAAATGCGTACACATACCTTCAAATGTGTGTCTGACGATCTGCAAACACGTTAGTTGGCTGCCAGGCTGCGTATCGCTTTTGCTTGCACTGTACAGGAAACAAATTTCAAAAACACAAACTATAATGGACCCTCCATCGTAGCCTCCTCAGTAAAACTGTACCCACGACAGCTATCCAGCTCAGTAATGTCCGTCCTGAACTCACTGGGTGCTACCGGGGACTGGCAGCCTAGCCTGTGAGCCTGAGTTCAGGGCAACGAACCCCACTAATGTGTTTGCAGATCTTTGATATTTGTACGCATTTGTGGATCTGTGTACGCATATTGTATTCAAATAGTTTTGCCACAATAATAGTTCCATAGTTTCCTGAATCCAGCCGTCTCACTTTAGACATAAAATAAATAAGAAATAAAGTAATGAGACAACATTTGACCTTGCACTCAACCGCTACATGCACAACTTAACTTTACTTTATTGCAGACAAGCTGGTCGGAGTCCACTGCACGCACGGTCTGAACCGCACAGGATACCTGATCTGCAGGTGAGAGCGCCGAAAAACAGCGTGGCGTCAGCGCTAGATGATTAACTGTGTGACAGTGTGTGTGTGTGTGTGTGTGTGTGTGTATGTAACCGCTGTGTGTAACATCTGTGTAACAGCTGTGTGTGTGCTTGTTTGTGTAAGATCTGTGTGTGTGTGTGTGTAACAGCTGTGTTTGTGTGTGTGTAACGTCTGTGTGTAACATCTGTTGTGTGTGTGTGTTTGTGTGTGTGTAACGTCTGTTGTGTGTGTGTGTGTGTGTAACGTCTGTTGTGTGACCTGCAGGTATCTGATCGATGTGGACGGGATGGATCCTCAGGAGGCCGTTCAGTGTGAGTGTTCTGAATGTTTTAATGTGTGTCAGTAATAATATTCTAATGAACTGAATCTAACTTTAACTTCTTTTGTTGTCAGTGTTTAACTCTTCACGGGGACACAATATAGAGCGACAAAACTACCTGGACGACCTTCAGCATGGACCGAAGAGAAGGTGATACTGGGACGTTTTGCGTCTTACTTCTTGTTATGTTTGATTTGATCTTAAAGCTCCATCTCCATTTCTCTGATCCTGAAGTCGTCTGCTGAAATTCTTGGCTCCATATCGGGGAATTATTATTAAGCCGTTTAGCGCCCTCTGCAGACTCATCCTGGGATAACATTGGTTCTTTATGTTGCGTTACCTTGATCCTGTCCTGGATATTAATCAGTGTGTCTCCTGTGATCCTTTGTAAACAGCAACGACGGGATGGAAGAGTCCGAGCAGGAGCCAATGAGAGGTCTCGCTTCTCATCGACCGTCGGACTCAGACATCAGAGACGAGAGGCGACCTCACCACGACGACTCTCGACACCACAGGTAAGAGACGAGCGGCGGCAGACTTCATTAAACCTTCTGAAACAGACCTCAGTTATTGGATTGGACAGCTGATGAGAGACAGGAAGTGTTGGGAGGAGAGAGAGCGGGGGATGACGTGCGGCAAAGGGACAAGATCGGATTTGCGCCCATGGCCACTGCGGCAAGGACCATGGCCTCTGTGCATAGGGCACTCAACATAACCGCTAGGCTATCCAGCACTCTGTCATCTTTGTTTGATCTGAAATTAAAAACTAAAATGGATAAAACATGAATTCTTTTTGCAACAGAAAGCTGAGACTTTATTTTTTCTTTTCTACATCATGTCTCCCATTTATTATGACCTGATCATGTGAGAGCAAGGCGTGTTGATAGCTTATTATTCATCTAAGTCTGAGTCTTTAAGAGGTCTTTAAAAGTCTTACATTTGATTTTAAAAAGTGACATAAGTGACCTCTCTTCTCTCACGTCTTCTGCAGAAACTTCCCTCCCAGAGAAAGAAACCACCGCCCACATCAACGCCATCCACACGATGGCCACTTTCCTAATCCTCCTCCGCTCCTTCCCCCTCCTTTCTATCCACCTATGGGAGCCAATCTCTACTCGTATCGACGGACCCCTCATCAACCTGACAGTCAGTGGAGGAGACCCCCCTGCCCAGAGGAGAGCAGGTCCAGGTACCCTCCAGATGATCGCGATTGGAGGTCATCGTCCCGCCGGCAGGAGGAGGACAGATGGAGAGCTCCTCCTCCTCCTTTCCTCCCCCGCTACACCCCACGCTGGAGCGACGAGTCCAACGGCCACGGCAGACGTGAGGAGGAGGGGGTCGCTCCCAGAAGCAGACACCACGACAGACCACCACACAGAGACCGAGTCCGCTCATCTGAGCATTAGTGAAGTGAGAGAGGAGACAGGACACTGATGACGCTCTTTATTTAAGGGACCTGAACCAGGGGTCAACCAAGCTGTCTTACTTTTAGGGTCTTAATCAGTTTAAGGTACAAAAAGATCTCTTCAGCCCGCAGCAGGTGAACAGCTGTTACATCACGCTCTCTCTACAAACACACCACACTACATTCATAAAAACATACATTGTACCTCACAGGACTCAGGAGTTTATTGTCCAACACTTGTTTTCTCTCTGGAGTCTATCTGAACTCAAAGGAGCAGTATGTAACTCTGACCCCTAGTGTTTAAAATGGGTACTGCAGTCTAAATCCTAAACATTGTAGAGAGCTGTCTCCCCCGCCCCCTCCTCTCTAGAGTCCATGCTCACGCAGGTCACCATGTGGTGGACACTGAAGCTTCAGTGTTTATCCAGCTCTGCATCGGTCTGTAAACCTTTCTGTGTTCTAACCTCTCTCCATTTTTCAAAAGCATCTCCAATATTGATCCTAGTTTGAGCACGTTTCTGCTCGTGGAGCTTATTAGAAACATGCAGAGGCTTTTTAGGTCGGGTACAATCACTTCTATCTGAACCACTTCTCTTGCCCGCTTCCATCGCTGCAACACCTGTTGACCTGATAACTGCTCTCATATCTGGCAAACTGAGGGGCTTCCAAAACGGCTGTGTAGGGGTGCCTTAAAACCGCCTACCTTCTCTGGTACAAACAAATCCAGACTATTGATCCATTAAGGATTATGTTTCAGATGTTACAGCTTGATTACCTGCTGCAGGATGAACTCGTCAACTGGAGACATTCAGAGAAACTTTTTGTACCTTTTAGTAATTTAAAGACAAAATTTGGATAAAAAGGGTCTCAGGGAGAAGATGAGTCAGGAGTGTTTCAGCTGGCGTGCCTTTTTTCACTCTGACCTCAAGTCAGCCAAACGTTGATCCCTCACACGAGGAGAGCTGCTGACATGCTAACCTTCAGAGTTTTAGATTAATCAGCGCGTTTTATATTTTCTTTTTTTTTCTCACTGCACATGTTTACTGTTTCACATCAGGTGGTGGACGATCAGAGCTTTAGCTTGTGGGTGTTGTCATTATCCAGGAACCTGTTGATTGTTTTCTCCATTTAATGTTTTTACAGAGCACGCCTGCTCTGATAATTTCTAGTGTTTGTACATGAAATTCAATATCCCGTCATTAAAGAGTCAAAACAAGAACAAGATGTCACATTTTGAACCAGAAGCTGTGAAACAACACATTTTAATTTTCAACCAGTGTAAATAAGTCTCAGAGCTCCTCAAAACATGCGTGTGAAGTTTCTTGTTCTAAATCCACTCTGATCCTGTATTTGATCATGTCTATAAACCCCTCTATTTCAGCCCTGCTCAGAACAGGCTGTTTTTGTGTCTGTACCTTTAAATATGTAAATGAGCTGTGTCTGACCACGCCCCCTCTCTGGAAGGACTCAGGTGTCTCGGGCTTCCTCCCTCCATGTCCTATTGTTTACCGTGAGAAGGCAGAACAAACACCTAGCTGTGGGAGTGTCACCCACCTGGGGGAGGGGCTACTGCCCTTTGTGATGTCATGAAGGGAAAATCTCCAAACGAGAGAGGATGGACTTTTCTCATCATTGGGGGGTTTGTAGACAGACTAGGGACACATATTAGAGTTAGAGGAACATGGTGAAGTGTGTTTAGCAGAATATGTGACCCTTAATAGATCAACTTAATAATAATCTGAATGTTTGCCCAAGGATTCAGTAACCAGAAAACATTTTGAAAAGTGTCGAACATACTTAATGAAATGAAATCATCTTCAATGTCTCGACTCTGTTTTTTTTTTTTACATTTGTGAAAGCTCAAATATAAAAAGTTAGTGAGACCTCAGCAGTTTCAGTATTTGACTTAAGATGCACCTGTGTTTATTTATCTATTACTAAAATGACCTCTGTTACAGTTTTAGACAATTGTCCAACATCAACACAATGTCCTTGTGTACAGTGTCACAATATATTTAAAGATATTTAGACTAATCTTAATCGTTAAAGATTTGAATCAATAAACTCTTTGATACTTTTATGAAACCCTCCACAGACAGACAGGACAATCAGATATTTACTCAAACATTTAGAGAACATGCACATATTAAATAACATGAACTCAACCACCTGTTGCTCACTTTACTATTTAAAAATGTCCCTCAAAGGCTTCTGTAGTTGTTCTAAATGAGTCTATAGTTTTAACTCTGCGGGTAATACTACAGCTGTGAGCAGGCATTACATCTCTCCTGGTCGCTTTAAGTTACTGATTAAACATTTCTGCAGAATCAGTATCAAGCACGATGCAGCTGCTGGGCTTAGCTGCGCATGCGCGGAGTCTGTCACGACTGTGTACGCTGCTGCTGCTGCTGCAGGTGCAAACATGGCGATGAAGGCGCTCCGAGGGATGGTGAACGGGGCCATGAGCGAGCTCTCCTCCGCCGTCAGCGGGAGCAGACCTCCGGCCGCCGCTCCGGCTCCCAGCGCCGCCACCCGGGAGCAGGTGATGGCCGTGCGCCGGGATTACATCTCCCAGCCCCGCCTCAGTGAGTCCAACTGAAGCCTGAGTATCTGGATGTTTGCACTCTGCGGAATGTTTGATGTGTGAAGACTTTAGTAAAAGATCAGTGCGTCATTTTAAAGACTTTAAACTGTTTTAGAATCACAAGTGACAGACAGATACTCAGGGGATGAATATGTTTAAGAGAGCGGAAACTATTTGTTGAATGTTGGGTAGTGAACAGTGCAATGATCTGCAAGAATCATAAATAAATTGTTTTTTGATAAGCCTGTATGTGTGAACGTTTGCAGCTTCCTTGATCTGCAGTGATATTTAACTGATCATCGTTGTAGTTTGGACAATGAATAAGACATTTAAAGATTCAAACTCCAGTTTTTTTTTGTTTTTTTTTGCATGATTATGACATTTTTCTTGTCCAGATGATGTTTGAAAATGATCCATATTTGAAGCCCAGGCTCGTGAATGTGTGTGGGCCTCAGAAGAACAAAAATAAATCCACTCTGCAGCTCCCTGCTCCTCCTCCAGACACTCCACCACTAATAATGTGATCAGATGCATTAAAGTTTTACCTTACATCCATTAAACTGAGACAGACCTGGGAGCAGAGGTTTGTTTAATTCATTTATACCTTCATGAAATATTGGGAATTGTCCACCAGATATATCCAGGCCCAGAGTGAAGATGTTGAAAAAAGCTGAAGGTAATGAGTTCACTGTGATATTAAAGAAATAAATCCTCACATCGGAGAAGCTGCAGGTCTGCTCTCTGCTCTCATTCTGTTTGTATTCACCGTCTCAGAACTCTGACTCCTTGTTTTCTGCCTCCTCAGCCTACAAAACTGTGTCTGGAGTCAATGGTCCGCTGGTGATCCTGGATCAGGTGAAGGTAAGGGGGACGACCGAAGGCCTCAGAGGACTCAGAACTCTTTGATTCCTGCAGAAAGGGAGCACACTGTTTACCTGCTGCATGAACAACAAATTAACCACAACAGTCCCAACACTTATGCACCTAGTCGTCTTAGATGACTCTAAAATATGGCCCACCTGTAAATCTAGCAGATTAACCCTCTAACTGCTGGGCAGACCTGAAGGAAGCTGCAGATGAAACGTGTTATTTGCTCATAATAAAGTGACAGTAAAGTCATTTTCAGTGTGCTGCAGTTTATTGATTTTTTTCATGTTCCTGCAACCGACCGGCACCAGAGGACACGTTGGCTGCAAACGGGTTCCTTGTTGGTCGTTAAACCCCTTTTAAATGAGTCTACTGTCGTTAACAAGCAGAACTGGAGCGAATGAATAACGCTCATAAAGAAACTAGTTGCTCCATTATGGACGTGTTTTTAAAGTGTCAGAGTGTCTTCGACTCATTATTTCAAAAGACACTGACATGTTTGTTAAAGTTCAGAATTCAAAGCCTCTTCCTGTATCTGACACACGCGCTTCTGTGTTTCTATCACAGTTTCCGCGGTACGCAGAGATCGTCCATCTCACGCTGCCCGACGGAACGAGGAGGAGCGGTCAGGTGTTGGAGGTCTCCGGCTCCAAAGCTGTGGTGCAGGTACTCTCATCTTGTACATGTAAAAATGTCAGATTTTGACGTTTTAAACCAACAGCAGAGGCGTAGAGATGCTCCTGAGGTGACTCTGTGAGGTGCATAGAAAATGAGATCTTAAAAAAATGAGCACCCTGTTGGTGCACACATTCAACTCAAACCTCAGGAGTTTTGTGCGCGTGTGAAAAATCCTTCAGAGTAATTTAAAGCTTCTGCTGCAGTGATAAACTCACAGGTTTAGATTCATCGTTCTATCCGCTCTGCCCCCTGCAGGTGTTTGAGGGGACTTCAGGTATCGACGCCAAGAAGACGAGCTGCGAGTTCACAGGAGACATCTTACGGACGCCGGTCTCTGAGGACATGTTGGGTGCGTCACACCGTTTATCTAAAACTCACATTTTAACCATGTCATGATTTGGTTTTATTTAGTTTTATATTTCAGCGTTTAGGTTTCCATGTTTTAATTTCTCCTGTCCACCCTAGTGTTGCTTGTTTCCCTATAGTGTGTTTTTGTATTAATGTTCCCTGGTGTTTGTTTCCCTTGTGTGTTTCCTACATTAGTCTTTAGTGTTTCCTGTGTTATTTTGTATCCTGGTGTTGTTACATTCTACTCTCAAGATTCGGTCTTTAGTTTGTATTTTGTCCATTTCAAAGTCTAGTTTTCCTTGTGGTTATTCATACTAGTGTTTCTTGTTTCCCTTGTGTGTTTTTGTCTTAATGTTTCATAGTTAAGTCTTTAGTGTGTTCCTGTGTGTCACCTTGTTCCAGCCTTTTTTTCCTAGTAGACTTAAAGTGATTTTTGACCATGCCTGCCTTACCGTTTTGCCTTTTGCCTGCTCCCTTTGGATTTGTTTGCTTCGAAGATTTGCCTTTCTGTGTACCGACCTGGACTGCAATTAAACTCTGCGTTACAGTCCCTGTCGCTATCTGGTTCTGAGAAACCACATGAAGACCTGAAGCTCTGCAGGAACACGTCTGTGAAAACTCTACATGTTCTGAACGCGTCTGTGTTTGTGTGTTCAGGTCGTGTGTTTAATGGATCAGGTAAACCCATCGACAAAGGACCTGCCGTCCTGGCTGAAGACTTCCTGGACATCATGGGTACGCTGACCCTCTGCTCCGAGGCTCAAAGTATCGACAAGGACACAGGGCTTTAACCTGCACACACTGAAAAGAGCCAACATGTTGTGATTAATGAAAAATGTTCTGCTCTGGAGGTTGGGAGTGGAACAACCCCTTCCTCTCTCTCTCTTTGTGTTCGCATGAATATTTCCTCTGTTCTGATGTTTATAATGCCTGTTTCCATGTTTCAGGTCAGCCCATAAACCCTCAGTGTCGTATTTACCCCGAGGAGATGATCCAGACGGGAATATCTGCCATCGACGGCATGAACAGCATCGCCAGAGGACAGAAAATACCCATCTTCTCTGCTGCAGGGCTGCCGCACAACGAGGTGCATCGCACAGACACAGAAGCAGATCAAGTTGAACCGACAAATCCTCCCAGTTTAATATCAATGAATAACTTTTGTCTCTTCCCTGTAATTTGATAGATGTTACAAAAATTAAGTTAGGATGAAAATAATAACATTTCTCTGGATGACTTTTCAGTGATGGGCGACCTGTTCAGACCCTTTACTACCATTAAAGTTCAAATACCACAGTACAGTGATAACCAGCCATCCAATCATTATCTTCCGCTTATCTGAGGTTGGGTCGCCATGGCAACTAACTCATCCTTCTGAGGGATTCTGCGGCATTGCCAGTCCAGACGGGATGTATAATCCCTCTGGGTCTAACAGGGCTCTCCTCCCTGTTGGGCGTGCCCGGAATACCTCCAATGGGGGCATCCAGGTGGATTCTGATCAGATGCCTGAACCACAACTGGATGCTCTCGATGTGAAGGAGCAGCGGCTCTACTCCGAGCTCCCCCCTGAATGTCTAAGCTCCTCCCACTCTCTCTGATGCTGAGTCCAGACTCCCTCCAGAGGAAACTCATTTCAGACGCTTGTACCCGCGATCTCATTCGTTCGGTCACTACCCAAAGCTCATGACCACAGTCGAGGGTCGGAATGAAGATCGAGCTGATTTGCCTTCAGGTTCAGCTCCCTCTTAACCACGACGGTTTGCAAAAACGCTCGCATCACTGCTGACGCTGCACCAACCCGCCCGTCAATCACTGTCCATCTTACCCTCACTGTGAACAAGACCTGAGATACTCAAACTCCTCCACTCGGGTTAAAGATGAACTCAGCACCTGGAGAGAGCAATCAGCTGTTTTCAGGCAGAGAACCATGACCTCACCTCAGAGTCCAAGAAACAATCTACAGTCACTTGAGATTGTTCCTTCAGTAAAAGTCTGAGTATAATCCAGAAAAATGTAGTTCAAGTAATAATCATGTTGTATGAATGCAAAAAACAGGATTGTAATGTTGGAGCTAAAGTAGCTAATGTTAATTTTCCTCTCTGAATCTCTATACTGATTATTTCCTCCTTTACTCCAGCAGAGTCTTTAACATCCGTCTCTCTTTCTCTCCTCGTGTGTTTCCAGATCGCCGCTCAGATCTGTCGTCAGGCCGGTTTGGTGAAGAAGTCCAAGGACGTGATGGACTACAGCGAGGACAACTTCGCCATCGTTTTTGCTGCCATGGGGGTGAGGACTAGATATACTCTTTTTAAATAATAAAAATTCACTCTCTGGTGATCTCAAACTCCTCGTCTCAAACACCTGAAGGCGTCTTTATGAGGTGTATTCTCTGCGTTTAGTGTCATGTGTGCACTGAAGTGACATTCAGTCCTCATCAGATAAAAGCAGTCTTCTATTCTTTATTGTCTCGTTAGAATTTTTTTTATATTTCAAGAACGTTTTGACACTCTGTGGAGGGGAAACAGGATTGTGTTGCTGTAAAGACAACGAGCCAAAGTTGAACAGAAACATCAAACTTCCATCTTTTTTTAACATATTTTGTGTGTGAGAGAGTGTGTGTGTGTGTGTGTGGGGGGGGGGGGTAAGGGTAGAAACACTCGGTGATGGGTGGGTACCAGCTGATGACGTTTGCTCCTGGCTGAAGGCTACAGATATCTCTTAAGGTATCTTTATGACATGCTCCTCTTAAGGTGTACTGTCCCCGCTGAGGTGTCATAACTTCAACTAGACAGCTGCCAGCCAAACTCCACATAAAACGACACAGGAGTCAGGATGTAGCGTTCTAGCCCCTTAATTTGTTCCAGACTCAATGTGCATGAGGTTAAGAATCAGGAGTGAAACTGAAAATATAGATTGGTACAACACAATTAACAAGATGTCCTTTATACAAAGATAATTTGTAATCATCAAAATAATAAACAAGCTAACTACTTTTATGCTTGTAGATGTGTCTTAATTGTTTAAATGGCATGCATTAATTTATGCAAATTTAATAATATAACAAAGATACTTTCCAATATCTTAAGGTGAAAACCTAAATAAACATCTGAACAACTTACAAGCAATGCCTCTGCTGGAGAAACAACTGGATGGCACCGGATTTACTCTTGAGCTCCTGCCACAAATAGCCCTCTACTAGACCATGTGCACACTAAAACTTCCTACTTCCTTTTCCTAAAGGAAGCTATGCAAAACGACCACTATACAGTAGGGAGAGCTAATTTACAGAAAAACAGAATATTTATTAAACATAGAAATAGCCTGGAAGGCAAAACATATGGTATCTGGAGCCATTAAGCACACATTAAGATCTCATGTCACATGATCCATCTAATGTTTGACAGGAGGTCTTCTATGACATGCTCCTCGATGGTGTCAGTCTGCAGCCTCACGATGACACGTTTACAGAACAGAATCAAACTTTCTATTTCAGATGAACACTTACTAAAGTGAAGTTTCTCTTCTTTGCCTCCAGGTGAACATGGAGACCGCTCGCTTCTTTAAGTCCGACTTTGAGGAGAACGGTTCCATGGACAACGTCTGTCTGTTCCTCAACCTGGCCAACGACCCCACGTAGGAACCTTTTCTCTAATTACCTCCCCTGTTTCTACCTAATAAAAAAAACAAAAGAGCGACCAGCTGAAATACATATTTGTACATCGAGTGTCTCCATTTTTACTCCCTGTGAACATATCCTCATTCTGTTGTGGTTTAGAGGATTATCTTTCATTCCAAGAGATTTCCCCGTCAATTGTTTCCTCGAAGATTGAAAAGCACATTTCATGCGGTTTGGAGATGAATCAGATAGATTTGGCATAAAATACACGTCTCAGGAAAAACCCTGTAAAGTCTCTGTACTTTAAAAAAATCAGCTTTGGGTTTTGCACACTTGTTGACAAAAGGGAAGAGAGAGAGAAAATAAAGCTGCTGTAGGTGGCTACGTTTTATGAGGCCGGCTACGCACTAGACGATCTTAAAGGCTTAATATGCGATTTTTCACACTTAAATGTAATAGAAATCAAGTCTATCCTCTGAAAATAACTGTGAGTCTACAATGGGTGCAACACCCGAGTCCCACTGTCTGTGATGCTTTCCGAGTTTTCCGAGTCCTATCTTCAATTTGTTTACATCGCTCGGACTGCCGACTTATCCCCTTGCGTATAAAAGTTGTTTAATTGAGGGACGAGAGAAAAGTAGAATAACATACTGTACTCACTGCTTAACTGCGTTTTTAGATCATGCTCATTTCAGGTAAATTTACATGCAGTGTGAAGATACGAGCATAATAAAGATCGCTAGCATTAGCATGCTAACACAACAATGCAGCGCAAGTTGTTTTGATTTCATGCTGGTGCGCAAGGGCGACATCTGCTGGATCAAAAAATCACATATAAAGCCTTTAACCGATTTTTAAAACATATAGACCACAGACACGAGGACAGTCTTTTAAACTTTATAACCCTCTTAATGCACACACGAGACGATTCAGCGAGGCCGTGAAATCTCACAGAAACTCACATGATCAAACGTGAAAAAAAAAACATGGAGGACGATGGACATGGTCAGCTGGCTTCGTGGTTCGTCTTCATGAGACGGGGTTCAGTTGTGTTTATGTTTTCGGCGCCATGTTTGTGAGCTGTTAAAAGTGACGCAACATCCGGTTGGTGATGGCGCCCGGTCTGCTCGCTCTCATTGGCTGTTGCAGATATTCTGTCGGAGGCAACTCGATCTGGAGCAGGAAAATAATCGTAGTGACACCACACACGAGGATCCTTTGGACAGATAGTCGGTTAAGACGACCTTTAACAGGCCACGCCCACCGATCATTGAGGTCTAGTGTGTACCCAGCCAAGTCAGTTGTTACCAATATGCAGAATGTCTTTTCTAAAAGACTTTAACTGACTTCTTCATTGCAGCATCGAGCGAATCATCACGCCTCGTTTAGCTCTGACATCAGCAGAGTATCTGGCCTATCAGTGCGAGAAACACGTCCTTGTCATCCTCACCGATATGAGCTCTTACGCCGAGGCTCTGCGAGAGGTCAGCCAACGTTTCTGTGATCCTTTTCTGAAATGACTACACGATGATGGGAATAAACGTACTCACCTGTGAATAACTCTTCTTCTCTCAGGTGTCTGCAGCCAGAGAGGAAGTGCCGGGCCGGCGTGGTTTCCCTGGTTACATGTACACCGACCTGGCGACCATCTACGAGAGAGCGGGCAGAGTGGAGGGACGGAACGGCTCCATCACTCAGATCCCCATCCTCACCATGCCCAATGACGGTAAATACAAACATAAAAGAGCTAATGCTAATGCTAACACATTGCTAATGAGTGTTCTGGTGTCTCAGATATCACTCATCCCATTCCCGACCTGACGGGTTACATCACTGAGGGACAGATCTACGTGGACCGACAACTTCACAACAGACAGGTACTGAAGACTGAAGACCTGTTGGTCTGGACTTAACAATTGTAGAACTTGTCCTAGGATTTTTGTTCTTGACTTGGGACCTTTTGATCTTGACTTATGACTTGTAGATATTGTCCAAGGACTTGCTGTTCTTGCCTAAGGACTTGTTGATCTTGACTTAGGACTTATTGATCTGGACTCAGGACTTGTTGATCTCAACTTGGGACTTATTGATCTGGACTCAGGATTTGTTGATCTTGACTCAGGACTTGTTGATCTCGACTTCGGACTTCTCTAGTCTAAGGAGTTGTTGAGCTTGACTTAGGACTTATTGATCTGGACTCAGGACTTGTTGATCTTGACTCAGGACTTTTCTAGTCTAAGAACTTGTTGACCTAGACTCAGGATTTGTTGATCTTGACTTGGGACTTGTTGATCTTGACTAAGGACTTGTTGATCTTGACTCAGGACTTGTTGATCTCGACTTGGGACTTATTGATCTGGACTCAGGACTTGTTGATCTCGACTTGGGACTTCTCTAGTTTAAGGACTTGTTGATCTTGACTTAGGACTTGTAGATAGTCTCCAAGGACTTGCTGTTCTTGCCTAAGGACTTGTTGATCTTGACGTAGGACTTATTGATCTGGACTCAGGACTTGTTGATCTTGACTCAGGACTTTTCTAGTCTAAGAACTTGTTGACCTGGACTCAGGATTTGTTGATCTTGACTTGGGACTTGTTGATCTTGACTAAGGACTTGTTGATCTTGACTAAGGACTTATTGATCTGGACTCAGGACTTGTTGATCTTGAATAAGGACTTGTTGATCTTGCCTTGGGACTTGTTGATCTTGAATTAGGACTTGTTGATCTTGACTTGGGACTTGTTGATCTTGAATTAGGACTTGTTGATCTGGACTCAGGACTTGTTGATCTTGACTAAGGACTTGTTGATCTTGAATAAGGACTTGTTGATCTTGCCTTGGACTTGATGATCTTGACTAAGGACTTGTTGATCTGGATTCAGGATTTGTTGATCTTGACTTGGGACTTGTTGATCTGGACTCAGGACTTGTTGATCTTGACTAAGGCCTTTTTGATCTGGACTCAGGACTTATTGATGTTGACTCAGGACTTGTAGATCTTTTCCAAGGGCTTGTTGTTCTTGCCTAAGGACTTGTAGATCTTAACTTAGGACTTGCTGATCTTGACTAAGGACTTGTTGATCTTGAATAAGGACTTGTTGATCTTGACTTGGGACTTGTTGATCTTGAATTAGGACTTGTTGATCTTGACTTGGGACTTGATGATCTTGAATTAGGACTTGTTCATCTGGATTTAGGACTTGTTGATCTTGACTAAGACCTCGTTGATCTTGAATAAGGACTTGTTGATCTTGCCTTGGACTTGATGATCTTGAATTAGGACTTGTTAATCTGGACTCAGGACTTGTTTATCTCGACTAAGGACTTATTGCTCTGGATTCAGGACTTGTAGATCTTTTCCAAGGACTTGTTGTTCTTGCCTAAGGACTTGTAGATCTTAACTTAGGACGTGTTGACCTTGCCTTGGGACTTGTTGATGTTGACTAAGGACTTGTTGATCTTGACTTGGGACTTGTTGATGTTGACTAAGGACTTGTTGATCTTGACTAAGGACTTATTTATTCTGAGTTGGAAACTTTGATTTTGAGTTTTTAACTCCTTTCAGAAGTATTTTCGTTGCTGTGCGCCCTCTGGTGGTTCATCTGTGGTTCAGCAGGTCCACTTTGAGCTTCCTGTAAACGAGTCGTGTCAGGTGGTGAATGTTTTTTTAAAGGTGACGTCTAACAAAGTTTGTACCTTTTCTTCTTCTGTGGTGTAGATCTATCCGCCCATCAACGTGCTGCCGTCTCTCTCTCGTCTGATGAAGTCCGCCATCGGGGAGGGAATGACCCGCAGAGACCACTCTGACGTCTCCAACCAGCTGGTGAGCTCACACACACTTCCTGCTTCTTACTGCACATGCTCACCTTCACCTTCACCTCTGTGAAAATGTGTGTGTGTGTGTGTGTGTGTGTGTGTGTGTGTGTGTGTGTGTGTGTGTGTGTGTGTGTGTGTGTGTGTGTGTGTGTGTGTGTGTGTGTGTGTGTGTGTGTAGTATGCGTGTTATGCCATAGGGAAGGACGTGCAGGCGATGAAGGCGGTGGTGGGGGAGGAGGCTCTGACAGCTGATGACCTGCTCTATCTGGAGTTCCTCACCAAGTTTGAGAAAAACTTCATCTCCCAAGGTGCATTGGGGCACAATTTATCACATCATACTTTTGGACTTATGTCAGTTGAAATTAAACCAAGGCTCGAATGTTTTGGATTTTCCTCTTCGTCTTTGAATACTTGGATCAAATTTGTGAGGACATGAGGTCATTAAAAGTAGAACATTTTAAATTATACAGACATAAAATCAAGTATGCAACATTTACAACAGATATGACAATTAAAAGAGGAATGAAGGACAGGATATTTTGGAAAACAAACGAAGCGTTAGTGGTATTAGATATAAGATATTATCTTAGGTATAAGATATTATCTTAGGTATAAGATATAAGACATTTTCCACAAATTAATCCGGTTACACGCAGTATGTAGATTCCACCACCAGGGGGCTCTCAATCAAATCAAAACAAAAAGAAAAGATGAAGTCGAGGCTGGCGGGGAATCATGGGAGTGATTCTCTTCTACTCCACCCCCTCGCCCCCCCAATAGAAACGACCTCCGAGTTGACTGTAGTCATGACGACCAGGTGAAACCGACCTGAGGAAGAGAATATGTTTACCGACGAGCTGATGTATTTGAGTATAATACAGCAACAGTTGCAGTTCACGCTTTCTTGTGCAGGGGCCTTTGACCTGTGAACCTATGTTTCCATGGCAACAGTTAATACGTGGTGTCCGTCATGGCATCAGCATGAGTTTGCGTTATACTGATGTTTTTTTCGTGTGTCTGGTGCGTGCAGGTGCCTACGAGAACCGGAGCGTGTTTGAGACTCTGGACGTCGGATGGCAGCTGATGAGGATTTTCCCCAAAGAGATGCTGAAGCGGATCCCTCAGAGCACCCTGGCCGAGTTCTACCCCCGAGAGGCCAGACACTAAAACTGACACATCATCAGCTTCCATCAGTGAACCCTCACTGCTGCGTACTTACCGTGACGTGACGTAATGCTGTGACCGTTTGAAAACTCGTGACTTTCATGTGGCCTTGAATGCACCATTCCTGCTTTAACGAGATGACGAGGGTAACGCTGATTTGACATGTTTACAGTGTGAATGAAAAGAGTGTGGATGAGTGGAACATTGTGTCTGAAACGCTTTAATGGATTTTATTGAATTAGGTTATTATAGTAACGTATTTATTTTAGCAAAAGATATATTGAAATGTCCAAAAAAAACAAAAAACGGTGGTAAAGAAAGGGGGGCGTTCTCACATCAGCTCACACTGACTTCCTGCAGAATAAATACGAGGAGGCTGCTGGAGGAGAAACTCCAGGTGAAAAATGTGTCTGTTTTTCTGTCACACAAGCAGCTCCTCCTGGAAATATCAGGAGGTTTTTCAGGAGTTTTCTGCAGGTGTGAACGCCCTACTAGTGTCTTAAGGTACACCTGAGCATCGCTGCAGCTAAGGTGAAATCACTGCACGTCATAAAAAACAACATTTCAGGGTGTGAGGTTACGTTTTGAAATGCATTTGTGTTCTTCATTGTGATATTTGGAGTTTTTATTCCTGATCATAAAAATCACTCCGGCCTTGTGAAGAACATCTCTCTAACCTGCTGTGCATTTTAACAAAAAAAAACAACCACCTCGCTCTTTAAGCTTTGCGCAGCAGCGTTCATCATCAGTGAGAACATCCTGCAGCTTCATGAGGACGTCTCACCCGAGTCAACTTAAAGATGGACGACAGGTGCATCACATCCAAATGAGCCAGTTGAAGTGGTTTGGGCGTCTGATCAGGATCCTCCTGGACGCTCCCTTTGGAGGTTTTCCGGGCACGCCCAACTGGGAGGAGAACCTGGTTAGACCAGAGCTCGCTGGAGGGATTATATATCCCGTCTAGCCTGGGAACGCCTCGGAATTCCCCAAGAGGAGCTGGAAAACGTTGCTGGGGAGAGGGAAGTCTGGATTGATTTACTGCGTTCTCTGCCACCGCGACCGACTCAAATCAGAGGAAGAAAATGGAGGGATGGACAGGTGTGTGTGTGTGTGTGTGTGTGTGTGTGTGTGTGTGTGTGTGTGTGTGTGTGTGTGTGTGTGTGTGTGTGTGTGTGTGTGTGTGTGTGTGTGTGTGTGTGTGTGTGTGTGTGTGTGTGTGTGTGTGTGTGTGTGTGTGTGTGTGTGTGTGTGTGTGTGTGTGTGTGTGTGTGTGTGTGTGTGCGCGCTTAAACGTGTTCATTTGATTTTCAGCGCACATTTCCTGTCCTTTTTTTCGTATGCCAAAAGACTGTGACGGCCGTGTACTGCCACGAGGAACAACGCCTTTCTGCATGATGTTCTGCATTTGATGGTCAGTTTGAAACGCCATGTCTGTGATGGATGATGTTTGACTTAAAGGAAATGTACCGTTATCGGACGCTGTGATTCTCGTAGTTTAACTCTTGTACTTAAAGCTTGAACTGATTAATGTGTTTTAGGTTTTTGTGAACGTGTCTCCTTACATTCTGGACTTTTTGAACGGATCGGTCTTTAAAATAATTGTTTTTCTTTTATAACAGTGAGAGCATGATGACTGGATATCCGCCTGCATGCATCGTCGTTGAACGTTTCCTGTCTGTGAATCAACTCCCCATGAAATAAAAGCTGCTCGCTCTCATGCTCTCATGCTCTCAGTCCTCAGTTATTAGTTTATATTTATGACAGCTGGTTTTTGTTCCAAGATAAAACGGCTCCAGCTAAATAGAGGAGAGAGAGAGAGAGAATATTTGACTATAGGTATTACTAAAAGGTTTGTTAACATTAATCAAACATATGATGACGATTCTGACGTCAAGTCGGCAAGTCGGGCGCCTCTTTCTTTCCAGAGTTTCTGAGTTGTTCTGACTTGGGCAGGTGTTCATATGCATTTTATAACTCGACGCTTGTCTTTCCGATTCGCCCGACACCACATGAATGCACCATAGAGCACGGACAGGTGTAGAGGCCTGACCCCGTCTTCCATTAGATAAAAAAGGTAAAGCTCTATGTCACATCAAACTTAACGTGTGTAAGAAGTGAACCGAATCCAACGTACCCCAAAAGTCATGTGACGCACAGGTGAGCATGTCGGTAGAGTTTGATGCTCACCTGATGACCCTCAAACTGGACTGGACTGGTTTGTAGAGGGCTGGTTTGTGAACGATCAACATGTTTCTGCTGAGGAGGACTTTCTTCATCCGGGTGAGTGCAAACAAACCCTGATCCTGTTCAGATCCCCCTCTGCATGTCTTGAGATTATAATGAGTTTAGCCACATGTCGCATGGGCAAAACACTCAACCACAAGTGGCTCAGTGGGCAGCGCGTGAGTGTGTGAATGGATGAGTTAATACTGATGGACTCTTTATTCAGCAGCCTCTACCATCAGGGTGTGAATGTGTATGAATGGATGAGTTAATACTGATGGACTCTTTACTTGGCAGCCTCTACCATCAGGGTGTGAATGTGTAGGTGTGACCTGTGGTGTGAAAGAGCTTTGAGGAGTCAGAAGACTAGAATATACAAGCTCAAGTCCATTTACCATTCACCTGCCTCCAAGTCATTAAACATCTGCTTAAAATCATCCAATGAGAGCTGCTCGTTAAGTTCCATCTGTTTTTAGTACCTCACGCTCTTAAGGTCAACAACCATTTTCTTATCTGCATTTCATAAAGGTTTAGGATCAATACGTTCCTCTTAAAAAGCCTTGAAAGAATCTGCAGGTTTTCAGGAGACTGTGATGTTGGTGCAGTTCTGCAGCTGACCACAGGGTGGTGCTGTTGGTCCGTGTGTGTGTTCTGTGTGTGAGCTTCCCCTGCAGCTTCAGAGTTTTTATCATATCTCTCTGGATCCACTAATACAATTAGAGATGGAGAAACTTCACATGACTCAGTGGGTGTCTGAAAATACCAGCAGGTCAGGAACTTAAAGAGTCAGAGAAGAGACGAGTGAGTGTTTTTTATAGACAAGTTTTATGAAAGAGGAAAACTTCACTGCTGCTGAAACCCTGAAACCCTGTCCCGACTGTGTGTGGACATCAGAGACCAAACTCAGCTCATTTATCTGACTGTTTCTTCTGTTTTCTTCTTTTAAAACTGTTTAAAAAGTCAGCAGCTTTCTCCTTCAAAATAAAATACAGACTTCTCCTAAAGTGAAGCTGCTCCATCGTCCCTTCTGGGCCTCCATACATGTGTGGTGGTGTCTGTGTCTGCAGAGACTCTGTCCTCTGACTGGATTTTCCTGTTCTGCTTTGTTCTGGTTGACTCGGACGTTTCTGGGCGGGAGCTGGTGTGTTTCCTCCAGCCAATGACAGCGCAGCAGGTGAGTTTAGGAGTGGATACAATTCAGTGATTGGATGAGATTCAAACTGTTGAATATGACGAATGTGGACGTAGCAACAAAGAAGAGAAAATATAATCACAGTGAGGAGAAACACCAAGCAGATAAAGCTTGTTCTAAAAGGAGGGTGAACCTTGTGTTGTCTTTTACCCGTGGACGTGGAGTTGGTCTACTTCCTGTTGGACAGGCAGGTGACAAACACCTGCGGTTAGCTTGTGCTAGTGTGCGTTAGCTTGCAGTGTAGGTACAAGCAGTAAACGTAAACACCATGGCCATGTTTGGATGTTGTGTGTTTCATTGTTGTGACTTGTTTACAAACATTTCTCGTGACTCCGCCTTTAATGTTTAAAATTGTTGCAGACGAAAACGCTTTGACTTTCAATTTAATTTTAAGAGAAACCAAACCAAAGACAAAAACCAGCTGTTTAATATTTAACTGAATCGGATTTTCTAAATCTGTGTCAGCCAGACTTTTTATTTTTTCTCCGTCTTTAAATCAGACTGTCTCCATCCTCACAGAGTCACTGATGTCACAGATCCTCATGTTCTGTGTATTGTCCTTCCACCTGTCTTCCTGAGCGCCAGCATCTTTTTTAAATTGTTTTTTATTAGGAGAGAGCGTTTGCAGCAGCAGGCGGTTGCCCAAAAAAGTGTCTTTTTTAAAGCGGTGTGCCTTCTTTGTGCGGCTCCTAGCGCTTTGGATTTTAAATATTTCCATTTTTTTAGAAAGGCATTATAATATAAAATATAAATATATATATATATATATATATATATATATATAAATATAAAATATTCCCCTTATTTATGTTTCCTACCAATCGTACCATGTACCCACATCCGTGTCCAGAAAAAGAAGGCGGTCCAGCGTCCTCCATTTGATGCTCATAGTGCATCAAATATGAAACATGCAGTAAAAATAAACGGAGCAGTGTCGGTCATACGGCGGCCTTTTTTAAAAGCCTGTTGTCATGGAGACAGGACGCACCTTCTCAGGGCTCAAACGTTTCAGACAAGTGGTCTTGACTGTGGGAAAAAACGCCAGGTGGACACAAGTCATGTGAACGCGTCATTATGTAAAATAAGTTGAAGGTTTGAGAACACTGGAATGACCCGTTCACGACGCTGGCTCAGCGCCCGGGGCTGTGAGTCATGTGGATCAACACAGCGCTGAGAACAGATGCATGATCCTTGATGTTGGTGCTCACTGGGCCCTGTGACACATGACAGAGAGACGCTAATGAAGCCAAAGATCCAACGCCAGCTCGACTGTCGACGTGATGTTCAGTGTCAGAGGAGATGTTAGAGCACTGACAGGAAACTGAACCAGCAGATTATTCTGAAAGCTTTGTTTAATATTTGAATTTAGCTACATATCCTTACACATGAGATATCTATATTTCATACACTGACTCTGCAGCGCGGCGCTCCGGGGAGAGGCGATGACATCATCATTAAATTAACAGTATGTGATGGGGTTCATGCCCGTGGAGAATCCGTTCTGCTCTCTAACGTCAGACGTATTTTTACTTCTGTCATCTGTCTTTACGCTCATACTGCGGCCTCGCTGTAAAGAACAAGATTCAAGAAGATGGACAAAAACTCAATAATCGGATCAGATCGAGGTCAGTTCATGTCGGTTGACAGAGACAGACTTTTCAAGCGGTCTCTGTGTACGGTGGTTTGGGCCACACCAGAGTTTGATTGACAGCGTTCACAGGAGTGAAAACGCCTTAAAAACATGCTAGTTAGCCGTATTCAGATAACAACATGCTAGCTGATGATAAAGCTTTCTCTCTGTTCATCATCACTGATCACGTCTTAAAGACCACAGGCAGACCTGAGGCAGCTTCAGAAACAGTTTGGGTGGATGAGCAGGTTCTGTTTGAGGAGGACTGACGTGGTCCTGGTTCAGGAGGATTAACGTGGTCCTGGTTCAGGAGGATTAACGTGGTCCTGGTTCAGGAGGACAGACGTGGTCCTGGTTCAGAAGGATTAACGTGGTCCTGGTTCAGGAGGATTAACGTAGTCCTGGTTCAGGAGGATTGATGCGGTCCTTCTCCTGAACTCTCCTGATAATCGTCTTCAGAGACTCCAGAGCTTCAACATATTATTTTCTAACCGTATCCATGGCTACAGCGAAATACAAACAATATAAACCTGATGAGCAGAGCCGACATCAGTCCGTGTAGCCGTCTGTCCGACCTTAAAGAGTCTTTGATCAGCCAATCAGGTGGCAGCTAGTCTTTGTTTACATCAGGGAGTTTTACCGCAAAAAATCCTGACCAATCAGAGAGTATGTTCCTCGAGCGTCACACATTTCAAACTCAGTGCAAACTTGAGGAAATGATGCAACAATGGAACAAACTGGTTGATGATTCAGACCAGAGCAAACGATGTACAGGTGTGAAAACGCCCCGAAAGCTGACGAATATAAACATCCACGTCAAAGAGCAGAACTACCAACCAACTCTTCAGACGGCAGTTAGCTCAACTCAGACTATAACCACGATATTTATTATGAAACACGGCAATCACAAAACGAGACGTCGGCAGACCCTTAACCATCTTCACTGGTTGGTTACTTATGTCACCCTGTCCTGTGTGTGTGTGTGTGTGTGTGTGTGCGTGTGTGTGTGTGTATGCATTAAACCCTCCATAATGTGAGTGAGCATGCATGAGTATTTTAACATCGTTATTTCAATTATTTGTGTGTTGTGTGGTCGGTAATAATACATTGTGACAGCTCATGAATAATTCTAGTCCTGTGCGGGAAGCGTGTGTTTATCTACCCTTTAGACTGCTTATTGACGTGGCACACTCACACACGCACGCACACACACACACACACACACACTGAAATGATAATGCCACAGATAATTAAGGGTGATACTGAAGTACAAAATGGATGAGATAGTCCCTGTTTCAGTCTAATTAAAAGGTTTCTTGGCTCTCGATTGCAGAAAATTAATATGAATGCTCACGGAAAGATACACTCATGTATGTCAACTCTTTCTGGCCCTGCACACACATGTACACACACACACACAGAAATAAATAATAAGAATGTAGTTCTGGCAGAAAGCTGGGGCTTCACGGTGTATCCGACGTACTAAAGAAGAAATGCAGAGGAGATAAACCAGATGGATCTGTGCAGTCAATTTTAGTTTACAGTGTAATGCAGAGGATCATATTCCGCACGCACGCACGCACGCACGCACGCACGCACGCACGCACACACACACACGATCACACTTATTACTGAGTGACTGTTTACAGATTTGTTTCGTTTTATTTTGTTCCAGT